GTCGATCGACCATTTCACGGGGGTCGCCAAGCAAGGCTGTCCGCCATTTTTTTTGTCCGCCATTTTTCCCCCCTTTTCCGGCGGGTGCCTTACCTCCCTTGGGCTGGGCCAGCTGGTGGTCGGCCTGCTCCGTCTCTGCCGCTTGCCAGCTACGCCTCGGCCGGCGCAGGGGGCGGAACCACGCATGCGTGGCGCTCCCGGGCAGGGAAAGTCCTTGACTTACGACCGGTTTAGTCCTCGACTTACGACCGGTTTAGTCCTCGACTTACGACCGGTTGGGGTCGCGGCATTAAAAAGGTTGAGAACCACTGCTTTACAGTAATATTAGTACTCCTATAGACATATAGTTCTTGAGCTTTGCTCGCTATTTATAATATAATGTTAACACTTTTCCCCTTATTTCTGTATATTTATTTATCTTTTAAATATACATTTGTCTATAATCTTATGTTTTATTCTCACACTATACATTTGTCTTGGCTGCCCTCTTGTCATCTATCCGATCGTAAAATTGTTCCCAGATTTTGTAGTGCTTAGTTTCACTTTTATCCTTGAGTTCCAATGTAAGTCTATCCAGGCAACTCGCTTTGAGGTCAATCCTCCTGTCTCCACCGTTGGGCGAGGCGGCGAGGGGCCAGAGGAAGGAATGGAGAGGATGGGGGTGGCCTGGGCCGGAGACCACAAAAAGTGCAAGGAGAGGAAGAAAGGGTTTGTCCAGACTTGGGACTGGACACTGTGTTTTGGTCCTTGTCCTGCCCCTGCCTACCTGCTCCGTCCAGGCCTGCCACACGTGTCTAATGGCCTCCCTCTGCGGCTCTTCCAGGGCTGGACGTTACCCGCCTGTGCAGAAACTCCGGGCTCTGCGTGGACAGGGGCAACACCCACCTCTGCCATTGCCAGCCTGGGTACACGGGCAGTTACTGTGAAGAGCAAGTGGACGAGTGCTCCCCGAACCCTTGCCAGAACGGGGCGACCTGCACGGACTACCTGGGCGGCTATTCCTGCGAGGTAGGCTTTCCCGCCCAGGAAGGATACGGGCTAGTGGGCTTCCGTGGCTGCAGGGGAGGATTGCAACCTGCCACCCAGGGCCAGGTTGGGAAGGTGCCTGGCCAGGGACACAGGGCCCTTCCTCCCTTTCCCAGCTAATGCTCAAAGCCAGATGCCCCGGCCCTGCTTGTGGCAGGACCGCCCGGCTTCCCTGCATGCTCAGAGGCGTCTGCTTGTCCCTTTGCAGTGCGTGGCCGGCTACCATGGCAGGAACTGCTCGGAGGAGATCAAGGAGTGCCTTTCCTACCCCTGCCAAAATGGCGGAACCTGCATCGACCTGCTCAACACCTACAAGTGCTCTTGTCCCCGTGGAACTCAAGGTAAGAGACTCGAGCAGGGCCGGCAGGGAGAAAGGATCTTCCACCCAAAACAGATCCAGAGCCTCGCTCAGCTCAGCTCCAAATGGGCTCCTGCAGAAGCGGTCAGAAAAAATCGAGCCTAAAGGGGCAGGACTCAGCCACACGGTTGTGCCCACCATCTTGACTTTTCTGACCCTGCCCCGATGGCAGGAGTAGGCAACCTTGGCTCTTTTATGACTGGTGGACTTCAACTCCCAGAATTCCTGAGCCAGCCATGCTGAGGGGAAAGGGAGAGGCTTCCAAGCTGAGCCATGCGGGCTCAGGAATTCTGGGAGTTGAAGTCCAGGAGTCATGAAGGGGCCATAGTTCCCCCATGCTGGCTCAGGAATTCTGGGAGTTGAAGTCCAGGAGTCATGAAGGGGCCATAGTTCCCCCATGCTGGCTCAGGAATTCTGGGAGTTGAAGCCCGTGAGTCAT